TGTTTGATGCTACAGTTATGAAATCCACATTTTGCTGTGTAACTGTCACATTTTTAATTGCTGCTCTACATTTATGAAGTTTTCTGGTGTGAAGATAAGAATGTTTGGGGATTTTTCTTGTGTGTACATGAATATCTCCATTAAAACCTTGAACTTTCTATCCCTGACAAGCTGTATATTTTGTTCATGGATGTTAATTGCATAGAAACTGTGACCTATAAATAGATCCATGAAAAGATGGGAATAGTGTGGAATAAATTGAACTTGTATTCAATTCAGTAGGGCCCTACAACTAGTTTTGTTTTCCATATTAAAATTTCAACAAAGCACACTGGATTGTATGCCATATGCATTAGAAATGCCACAGAACTGCTGCAGAGTTTCTTCCAAGGTTTGAGTTCAGTGGGATTTAACATGCCTATGTAAATACTTTGCTGAATTAAGGTCTTAGTTCACAGAATATTTTTGGTTAGGTGTTTCTGAGGGGCTATACTTTTAATATTCAAATTACCTTATAATTCTGTGTTTTAATTAGATAGGTTAGAGATGTGGGTGCGCAAAAGGTTAGGGTAATGTGCAAGGCTGGGTGTCAGACTTCAGGTTAACATATGTTACCCTAACCTTACATATCCTTTGACATTCTATTTCTCTAACCCTGCAAAGCATTTTACATTCATGTAAGCTTCCTTCCATGGTTTCTTTAGAGCAATGGCTTTTGGCCTTGGCAGAGAGGATCTAGGTTAAACCCAACTAACTTGAATTCAAGGTTAGTGTAATGTGCAAAATATAGTTAGGAGAATGCTTGTGTATATGTATATTTTGAGTTGTCTTTCTTGAAGAGCATATAGATATGTCTGGTACGTGTGGCTTTTAGTCTCTTACTCCTGTTTTTCAAATTCTGCTAATACCCAGGTCTTGTAAGAATCTGATAGTATAATCTCCTGTTTTAAAAATCATAAGGTTATATTCAGCTTTGGATGAAACTGCGTAACATCTGGAGCCAGAATGTATATGAGGTCTGCCATATTTCATCCTGTTACCATACATTTGAGCTGCTTATCTACCTAAGACCTTACTTGGAATGTGGTTTCCCTGCTTATTTGCTTCTGGTTAGATGCATAAAAGCCTTACATGGTTTCCTTAGAGTAATGGCTTTTGGCCTTGGTAGAGAGGATCTAAGTTAAACCCAACTTCCTTGAACATGTTTTATGGTGAATTGAATTAAAGAATTGTATTATTTGTTTTGTTGCTGCCTGCGCTAGTTTGAACATGATGGTTTCCAGTCTGAGAACTTCCTAGCAGCAGATAAAAAGCACGTATGCAAAAATTTGCAAAATATTTTGCAGGGTTAGCGAAATGGAATTAAGCTGAGTTGGAAGTGTTCCACACTTTGCAACATCAGGCATGATTTGTAAAATATGGTTAAAAATTGTGCAAAAAATATTGCCTTTCCAGTTTTGACACTCCCTTCCCTATTAACCTTACTTGGACTCTACCCTAGGCATGTTCACTAGGCTTGTGGTTTCATTGGCATAGTCACTTCCTAGGGACTTCTTACAGACCAGGAGGTGCTGAAAAGCAAATGAAGCATTTCTATATTCAGCATATCCCCATTGCTTGGCATTTGGGTATTCTGCACCTAATTTTAGAGCGCATTTAGTGTTTCTTCCTTATTCTGGACTTTTCAGTCCTCCTTTAAAAAAACGAAAAACTTGTGGATCAATTTGCTTTGTTTTCATTCCACAGCCCTTCACAGAATGAGAGAATTTCCTTAGAAGCAACTTTTGTTTGTTCTTCATTTGCTTGTATGTGTTGTATCTTATTTTATGACTTATTTTGTGGATCATCAGAGTATATTCACAGACCATTTCTATGAATATATTTATAAGGACAACTGCATGTATATATTTTGACTAGCACACTATGTCATGTACTGTAAAAGCACATACTCCAAGGAGTCATGTTTTGCAATTTAACTATATTTAATTATGTATCTAAATACATTAAGTCTTGCTTTACAATAAAATAGTGGGGGCCAGCCTTTTTGGCAGGCATGCCACAGAATAGCCCTGCACCTTCCCCTAGTGGCACTCCAATACCGTTCCCTTGCCAAATCAGCTACTCTGCTTTTTTCTTCCTGCTCTGTTTGTTGCTATATTGCCTGTCCATTCCCAAATATGTTACGTGCCGCACAGCTTTCCTGTGCTACAGGTTGGTCACTCCTGTAGTAAAACGTTATGGTAATTTTTACAATATGGAAAATTGTGCAGTTTAAACGTGTATATAAAGCATACAACAGATTTGTCCTGAAATACTTTGATACAGAAAATGTCAGCACCTTTTCGGGGGGGTGGGATAAAACAAAATTTTATTTCAAGGGTGTTGGTTTTATAGTTTTTAAACTATTAAATTGTGTCCAGGAATAAACTTAAAGACTCTTTTACAGCTTGAAATGCAAAAGGAAAAGGATTTTTCAGTAATCATCTATTGTGTATATTTGTTGGACTAAAAAACTGGAAATAGAATATTCTGTATTTTAGTGTTGTTAATTATTTTTTGCTGTATTAAGTCTGTCTAATAAACACGACAAAATAAAAAGGATTTCTGCATCAGATGCTGGCTGAATGTCATTAGTTCATTCAGTTTCTGCTGCCAATTTTATTAGGTTTAAAAAAAAAATCTTTAACTCCTATAGTGTACTATACATACACAGAATACTCTAATTCTTATTTGAATGCATGCAAAGTTCAGCTAACAGGGTACTGTAAAACTTAAAATGACAGCACCATAAAAGATCACAACTTAATGTAAAAAAGCCCTAAAATTAGATGCTGAGAAATGTCAAAGATGGTTGAAAGGTGCTGGGCTGATAATTTTTAATATTTAGATGGATAATTTATAATTCTTTGTCTGTGGATCCTGCAATCTGATTGGCAGAAACGTGGTCCTTAACCAACAGGTAAACCCCCAAAATTTTAAATCATGACCTCATTTTTAGCCAATCAGATCTTTCCATTTCAAGCACATTACCCTGCCTATAGACAGAGAGCTAGACATCTGGCCATGTGACTTTGAAGGTTAGGCCCAATTGAAAACTTGTGGAAGAACTTTGGAAGAATAATGTTGAAGCAAAGTATAATAAGAAATATCGAAGGGGTATCCCTGATTTATTTTTTTATCTTCTTAGTTAACTAAGGAAAAAAAAAAGACAATACTGGTTAGGGTACATCTATCATGGTAGTGAATATAAAGGATTTTACAAAACTCATGTGACCTGAGGTCTAGTTCTCAATGTCTGTGATTTTGTCATAACTGTCACTTTCTGCTATGAAGAAAGGAATGTTTCATTTTTCAAATGAATTGAGTACTGTACATAATTTCTGAAACGTTTTCCAACAAATTTATTCTGTCGTAATCCATCTCTTGAGCATATCGTTCTATAGCAGCAGTGATGACTCATTTGTTGGCCTTATATGAAAGAATGCCTAAAGTGTTAAGTGTTGTCTACTTGGCTATGATTCCTTAGTTCCTCTTACAAGTTTTTGTCTTTTGAAAGGCCAGCAAGTGGGTCACTGTTGCTGAAATTATTTGTCACTCATTTTGCACCCTGCATGTAATTTCTCTTAAAAATTGACAGTGCTTTAAGTTTTGTGAAAGCTTGTTCCTACTGTTTTGTTTAATAATTTAAACGAATTCTAACTTAAACAGTCCTGTCAGTTGCTTCAGAGACAAAATAATTTGACTTCCAAAACAAGATGTTAAAACTAATTTTTCATTTGGGTTTTGTTGATCCCTTTTAAAAATGATCACACACCAGTATCTGAAATAAATTAAGACAGACATCCATATCTATTTGTTCTCTAGAAATGTTGTTTTGTATTAATTTGCTTCTTTTATAAATTCATCAGTAAAAGGTCCCCATGTTCATATATGCCAACAGTACACACACTTTCCTGTGGATACTAGTTTATAATGCCAACACAGAAGATAAACTGTTAGGTATAGCTTAGTCATTTTGGCTTGCTCTCTGTGTAGACATTGGGGAAGAAAAAAATTTGCCAAAGGCAAACAAACCATATAATTGTTTGATGTTTCAGGCTGATTGCATTGTAATATTAGAGTCCACTTAGCTGGCAAATTGCCAGATGTCATGGGTACAAGTGTTGTCCAGTCAAATTTACAAGATCGTATTCAGTGAAACACGTAAGAATGCATTTAAGTGCTTTGCTAGTTCTCTAGAATACTGAAGTTAGGGAACAAGGTCTCAACCCCAGGCTCTTTCTTGGTATGGGATCAGGCCAAAATTACAGAATTAGACCACTGCCCATTATTCTACATGAGTGCTTTACCATCTTCTCTGCTATGGAATAAATTAGTTTGGTTTTGTGTGATTTTGATTAATTGTACTCAACAGCTGAAAGCACAGGCAGATCATCTGCAAAAAAGAATACACACCAGCCTTTCTGTCAGACAGCATCAGCTAGTCATTTGACAGCATTAGTTGACCTAAAAGAGAGGGAGTTCATTCCTTGTTAAACTGTAGGTATGTAAGGATTACCTAGATCTGGTCAGTAGGCTTTCTCTGACAATAACCAATAGCAGATGCTTCCAGAAGAAGCTATAAAACCTGAAGTTAGCAGCTATGAAACGCTCTTGCTTGTAAGTGAAGCTTTCCTAATTTTTTATTTCCTTCATGTAGAAGTCAACATGTCCTCTGAAGCATAAGGGTCTGATTTGGACCCTTTGTAAGACAACAGAAAGAAGAAAAGGTTTCTGGACAATGTTACCCTATAAATTGGGAAAATAACATATACTCTAAATATCTCCATAAATAGAGAAAGTGAATAGTGAGAATAAATCCTTTTTGCTATAGATAACTCTTTTATATTGAATCGTTCATGTTTGACTGAGAAGACACATTAACTATTATTTCCACCATATTCTGTGAAAGGCTTAATTTGTGATGGAAAAATTAACTGGGGTAGTTTTGTTTTCTGCAGAAAATATTGCAGCTACTACCTGAGAGGATTTATTATCGATGGCATTTTCACAGTATAGGTAAGAAGCATTCTTTACTAATGTTTTACTAACATCGTAAAGTAAAATAATTGTTTTACACTACTGGTCCTGCCTTTTCCCCATTGGTCTCAGACTTAAGTGAGAACAGTGTTAAAATATGATAATTTACCATTTTAAAACTTTACTGTTAATTCAAATATAATCTGGTTAGTGATGACCTTTTCAGTAAGATTCTGAAGAACATCTTTCTCTTCGTCAAAATTCCAGGTAGGTTACTTTGACACAAATAGCCCTCCTCATTCCCAGACCAAGGTCTGTGACCCACAAAACAATCTAGGAGTAGCAAAATGCATACAAAATTCTTCAGTACAACCCAGGGGCTTACAAGTCTTGAACCAAATTGAATTTTTTTTCTTTCTGCCACAGAAGACTTTATATATGTCTTCTGAATTTGGTTTTTAATATTTGGTTGGCCATTTTCTTCTTAAACATTTTTAATTCCAGAGTTTTATATTCTGGGTTCCTGCAACCCTCCAAAACATTAGGCTTATAAAGAAGCATAATTTTACATGTTCCAAGATTCATATACTAAGTGGTGGAGATGCAGAACAAACTGAAAAGTATGTTTTATTGGTCATTTTTATAGTTATGTGGAGGATATGTTTTCACATTACGTATAGTGCTCTAGTTTGTAAAAAGGCTTTAAAGGACTGACATACATTAAACTAATTTTTTTCATTTTTAATAATCTCTAGGAAAAGTAACACATTATGAAAAAAATGCTGCCCTATAAAACTCTAGAATTTGGATTCTATGCCTTCTTCTTAAAGGATTGCCAAGAGCATTACGTATCTAATGATGATATATCTGATAATATACTCCTGTTCCCTAGGAAAGATGGGTTGCAAGATTCACATCTTTAGCATTTGCACTAATAGAAGGCCATGTGCTTGAATATTTAAAGCAAGAACCTTCTAGTCAGGAGACCCAAATTGCACTCCTGACTTTCGCTAACTTTGGATCTTTGGGCAGATTTTTACCTTTTTTTCACATGTATTCCCATCTCTAAAATAGAAATAGTATTTAGGTGCTGTTTTGTAAAGTGCTTTGTAATTGTTTAGATGAAAAGTTGTATGGTATCTGAGATTTAAATTGCTCAAAGGACAAAAGCATCCTAAAAGATGGCTTTGTGACACTCTGGGACAGGTTAGAATGAATGGATTAAAAATGGACTTCCAGAAGGCCTTTGACACAGTGTCCCACCCAA